CGCCGGAATCTGGAAATTTCCCAGAAATTTCCAGAAAATTTTTTCGCCAAATTTTTTCTAAAAAATTTTTCTCACTGCCAGAACACTCCTAAACTTTTCCTTAGCTCTCTAAACATCCCTATTCTCTCAAATCAGTAGCTTTGCTTACTGTTTTCTGTGTTTCTGAACTGTTCCAGGAGGTGCTTTATATAGGGATTGATCAGGAGTTTCTGATCAATCCCAATTCCTCCTTGGACGGGAATTCAATCTTTGAATCCCACTGGACTCTTCTGATTGAATTCCCACTTCCAATGGGATTCTTCAGCCTTCAATCTCAGCCCTCCAAAATCAAAATAAAAAAACTAGATAATTAGAAAAGAAAATCAAAAATTAAAAATTAAAAATAATATCAGATAATTCGGGAAAAAGAAGATAGAATTAACAGATGATTAAAAAAAATAATAATAACAAATAAAATAAGATAAACCCAAAAATATATTACACAAAAAAAATAATAATAATATATAACTGTATAAATAAAATACATATAAATCTAATCTGAATAAAAATAAATAAATAAATAAATAAAGATATACATAATAATAATAATAATAATAGAATACATAAAATACAAAAGAAGAAAAGAAAAAAAAAATATACAGGATTGAAATGGGCCTTACCCATTTGGGTCAGGCCCAATTGATCTGAGCCCGGACCCAATTGGGTGTCTACACAGAGTACCAAGTAATTTTAGTTTATTAAATGGTTGGCAAAGTTAAAAACTTGTTTGGCCAAAAAAAATAGAAAAACTTGAGGCGATTTGTTTGGAGCAGCTTCTTTGGTCATTGCAATTTGGTTTCATTATAACATCTAAAGATGTGGACTTAGGTCTTTGAGAACAATGCTTTCTTACGTGAAGGTCTAGCTGACATGAATGTCTGAACTGCATAATATTCTGCTATATTTGGCTTTCTTTTTCAATTGAAGTAACTTAGCCTTTACTATGAACTTAGAATCATGGAAAAGAAACAATTGAATATTATTGTCCCTTAAAACTTGATTTGGTGCATGGGTGTTGATTGGATTGAGGACATGTTCTTTGAGGTGGACCAACCTCTTAAAAGTAACTTACATGCAGGAAAATGGTGCTGTTAACAGGCCTGTGCTTTTCTACACTTATCTACTACTTCCACATAAGTGAGCCCGATTTGACTGAGAAGTCATTCTGAAACTGGAAGTATGACTGCTCCCTTAGTGGATTATAGATGCTACTTGTGGCTTGATTCCTGCAAGAAGTTATAATTGGTTATTTGAAGCTCATATATCCTTAACATCCTCCTTGCCTTGTAAGAACACTGTCATTGCCAACATAATTGTTTTTGGTGAATGCATTATAGGAAATGGGAAACAATATGTATGCATAAAATGTTGTTAAAAATAGTCTTATGTTATATGTGTGTGGTCTGTGGTTAGTTACTATTGAAGTTTTATTGGTCCTTTATTTGAGTATTGGCTGCCTTAAACAGATGACAAGTCTTTATTATTTATGCCTGTTTTAGGTCATTTATTGAAGACTCCCAAGCTGGCATTAAGATATCTCCACAGGATAATAATTTTTATGGCTTGAATGATAGGCTAGTGACACTTACTGGTACTCTAGATGAGCAGATGCGAGCAATTGATTTGATTGTTTCCAAGCTTTGTGAAGACCCTCATTACTCACAAGCTATGCATGCCCCATTTTCATATGCAGGTGTGTTCTCTTCTTATTTGGCTACCAAGGCTAAAGAAACTCCCACATTTGCATAAATTTTCTCTGCTTTATTAACCCTGTTATTGCTTTTTATCTCCCCATCTCCTTAAGAGTTATATCATAATTCTGATATGCAAACAGTTGTTTGTTTGCCATTTCATATTTGGCAAAGAGAGCTTTTTAGCTGTGCTGTGATATTAAACATTAAAGCTTAGCTGTTGGCATGATGTGTTTCCAACTTTTTTTTTTTTTTTTTTTGGGGGGGGGGGGGGGGGAGGGTCATACATTATTATTATTTTTATACTATCTATCACTAAGCCCAAGCCTGACACTGGTCTTCTATCTTATTGAAGCCTTTCAGCCGTGCTATGAATTAAACATTAAAGCTTAGCTGTCAGCATGATGTTTTTCTAACATTGTTTTCTGAATAAAACACAATTTTAATTCTGTAATAATCATTTTTGCAGTATTGCACCTATCACTAAGCCCAAGTCTGACAGAAGTCTTCCATCTCATTTTCTGATGTTTTCACATGCTTTTGCCATCACATTTATTCTCTGGAAAAGTTTTTTATGCTCTTGAGGGGGATAGGCTGAATGCTTAGAGGACTGTTCTTATATTATTATTCTTCACTGGACCTGATCCATTTAGTCTGATCACACAAACCTTAAAGCAAAGGCGCATAATGAACACAACAAATTGGAAGGTGTTGCATCTATATAATTTATCCTAACTGCAGAATGATTTCTCCTGATTGTGGTCAAATGATTGGAAGTAAGCATAGTCTTCAAGAAACTGTGGCCAAAAAAGTCACGATGCCTCTTGCAACATTGTACATGAGATATTATTGAAGTTCCTTTGTGTGTTTAAATTCCAGTCATTCACTTCTTTGGAAGGGTTTTTTTTGGAATGCTGTAACGAAATTTTCAGTTGTCAAGTACTCTGATTCTTAATGGTCATTTTTCTTTGTGCATTTATGATGTGAGTTGTCCTTAACATGCAATTGTTATTTATCTTGGTATTATGCCCTGTGTGGAGTTCTTACTATATATTACTAGTAAGATTTCTTTAATTTGGTCCTAGTAAGATTTCTTTAACTTGAAATTTTAGGTATTTTCTTCTCTGGTTTTCATGGTATTCCGTATGCATATGTGCTTCCTTCTGTTGCAACAGCGACTTATTCAATGAGCTATGCACCAAATGGGAATGGAGAGAAGTTTCAGAATCAGAAGGTTCATCTCTTTCTATATGCTTTATCTATTCTGCCTACTAACAGATGCTATTTACTTTGTTCACTGCTCAGCAAAATATATTAATTTGTTGTTTTACTTTGGCATCTGTTGAGGCCAGTCATATGCTTGTTTCGCTTATTTTTTGCAAACACATACAATAATTATTAATTCATTTCTGTCTAATTGTATCATGTTTCTTCTAGAATTGATGTATTGCAGTATTTATTGTGTCATATCCATTTTTAATATCTCCCTAAACCCTTATTATTTATTTTAGCAAGTGATGACTGATTTTTTGAATTCAAGGACTTATGCTATAAGTGTAGACAATAGTTAATAAGTCTTGCTTGACAGAAGTCTTTCATATGTCTATCCAGGAGGATCATAGCAACTCTGTCACGATTGGTGTTTCAGATGGGCATATTGGGCTGGTTCTTGGCCGTGGTGGAAGGAATATCATGGAAATTAGTCAGGTTTATAAATGATAAATAGATCCCGTATGGTTCCATCATTTTGCTTATGTTCTGAATTTGAGCATTTTGTCGTTCCAGGTAAGTGGGGCCAGGATAAAAATCTCGGATAGAGGTGATTTCATGTCTGGAACAACCGATAGGTATAACATTCCCAATCTTATCAATCTGCTACCAAGCATTGAGTTCCAAGGTATTTTTTTTTTCTTTTCTTAAAACCCTTTTCTATCTTCTACCTTGTGTGCAGGAAAGTAACTATCATGGGATCACAAAGAGCAATTCGTCAAGCTGAATCCATGATAATGCAGAAGGTAGCATACGCCACTGAGAGGGTGATGGATTAGTTTTCCGGTTATCAGAACCATTCTTGTTGAGTCTTTTGATGGAGCCGCGAATGACTTCCTCATACAATTTGACTTGAAACATATCCACATTGATCGGCATGCCATGAATTGGCAAAGCTGAGAGTACCAATGGTAGCAGCAAGAACGGGAAATTTGTATCAAGCGGAGCTCTTATGAGGTATTCTTCGGAACATACAGACTAAATTTATTGATTTAAAAATGGAACAAAGATGTTGGAATAGGCTATCATTTCTTGAATGAGAATTCAAATGAACATCATTTCCTTTGATTATATAATTGTAACAGATAACTGTTTAGTTCTGGTATATCATCATGTTGGGTGCTTCGTTATTGGACATCTGAATTATTATAATTTTGGGATGATACATTTTTTGACATTAAATTTATGCAAACTTTGAGTTAGATCCAAGTGTATGCTCAATTATTGAGGATTGCATCTCTTTCTTCCTTTACATAAACAACTTTGGGGAGGGTAGGAAACACCAAAGGTTGAAATGTTAACATAAAATATTTATAATTATTTTATTTAATTTTAGTTTAAAATATCTTTTAAAATATTAAAATATGAACATAAAATATTTTAATAATATTTGTAAATTAAATGGACGGGCTTATCTCAAATCAAGGTTTAAGAATCTTTAAATTTAAGTCAAGTCATAGGAAGAAAACAATGATTAGGAATGAAAGATTCTACAATTAGACATCCCTAAACATATTTTGGATTAATCTAATACTGCCGATGCGATTAAAAAATTTTGGATTGAAAAAAGTTCATTTAAAAAGTGAAGTGAAAAAGTTATGGTTAAAAAATTTAATTGTTTAATATTAATATGAAAAAATATTAAAAATAATTGAAATATCTAAAAAATATTTATAAAATAATAAACTATTAAAAATATAAGATAACATAATACTTTTTTTTATCTTAAACACACTTTTTCACTAAAAAACAAGAGTTCTTTTATTTTGGTTTGAACATTATTTTTTAGATTGAAAAGTTACAATTTTTTTGTTGTTGAGTATTGAAGATGAAACAAAATACTTTCAATGGCAATCTTAAACTAGGTTTAAGAAGTTAAATAGAATATTATTGTTATTATTATATTGACGATGATACACTAATAATAATAATAATTATAATGACACATAAAATGATGTCATATTTAGCCTTACAAAAGACTTGAACTCTTAACGAAACATTTTATGTAGCAACGTACTCCATGCAAATGCCTGCAGTGACATTGCAATTTTATTTTCAAAATTACAAATGACAGATTTTTTGTCTATACCTCTGCCTAAATAGAATATATTTATGGTGAGTAATCATCATCTCCACCACTGCCATACCCTGAACCATAGCCAGATCCACTGCCATAGCCTGAACCATTGCGACTGCCACCACCACCACCTCCACCTTCTCCACCTCCTCCACCTCTACCACCACCGTTTCCATATCCAGACCCACTTCCATACCCAGATCCAGATCCATAGCCTGACCCACCTCCTCCATTGCCTCCACCCCACCACCACCTCCTCTACCACCACCGCCACCTCCACCACCTCCTGTCCCACTACCAGACCCATGTCCGGACCCATATCCAGACCCAGACCCACTGCCTGGTCCAAAGCCACCTCCACCACCTCCTCCGCCACCACCACCACCTCCACCCCCACCTCCACTACCATAAGCTCCTGAACCATACCCGGAGCCACTTCCAGAACCATACCCTGAACCATATCCAAAACCTGACCCCAAACCATTGGCACCACCCCGACCTCCACCACTTCCTCCTCCTCCACCACCTCCTCCTCCTTTTCCAACAGCGTTAAATGGCCTAGTTGCAAAGGCCAAGTCCACAAGAAGCAAAACCAAGAATGCAGCACCGATAACCCTTGAACTCCTCATTATTTTGAAGCTCGCTTAATGTAGCTTTAAAATCAATGCATATATATTCCCACTCACAATACCAGAAAAATTAACAAGCCTTGCTTTGGTTGAAAAAAAGGCTAAAAGCCAGGGTCTCTATTTATAGGCATTGCAACAGCAAAGGAGAAATAAAGAAACCTTTAAACTGAAATTCTAGCTGCTTCTATCACTAAAAGAAGTTAGAGATCAGATGATGATGACGATTGGGAGAACGTGTCTCCTGCTCTTGCTCTTGGGATTGTTAGTGGTGTAGTTGGCAGTGATGGTGGACTGCTGTCTTGTTTCTGCATGCAATTTCAGTATTAAATTTTGATTCTATACCACTTTTGACTTAAGGTCCTATAAAAATATATACTTTGGGAATTGCACTAATTGAGGATGCATTTATTTTTCATTTTTCTTTTTTTTTTTTGTCTTCTGTTCTCTGTTCATATTTGGATGCCGAATTGGGCTGGGTGCATGAACTTCCTATGCACCACAAATCTTTAATTACATCATAACAATCAAATAATTAATTTGACCTCAAAATTTAAGATTAATACAATCAAAATTTTATCTAACAAATTTAAAATTTAAATCGTGACATTCACAACGAACTACTCCTTTTTATATTTTGCAATCTTTTCTGTAAAATTATGAAATAATTAATTGTAATAATACAATGTGAAGTTGTCTTTGTAAGTTATGATTTTGCTATCACTTAGATTAACAGAAAATTAGACTCATTCTAACATCCCAGAATTGCCCTCCTTTATTATTATTATTATTATTATTTCTCTTAATAGGCTAAATGGTAAGACAAGAGGCTATGAGATTGTACAAAAACGTGATACTCCCTTTTTTTTTTTGGTTGTACATAATTGAGTAAATTACATTTTGGTCACTCAATATGTCAATTTTTTATGTTATGTTATTCTAAAAATAAAATTTTTTGACCATTACAAGTATTGCAGTTTTGGTGACTCAAATTATAGATCTTTCACTTGATATATGTCATCATCATATCGACTAGAAATTCATTATAAACTTGACAACGAAGTGATAAGAAATTTCAGGTTAAAGATTCATTGTCTTTAAAATACTGAATGATTAAAACAACAAAACTCATAAAGGTTAGTGGCTAAAATGTTGTTTTCTAAAGTTCAATTACCCAAATAAAAAATATCAAAAAAATTAGAGGATCAAATATGTAATTTGCTCTAAATAGTAATAAAGCATGTTTTACCTCATTACATAGTTTGCTAAACAATTTATACTTGTCATGGTCGTGCCACATATAAAAATCAAGTAATGTAGAATGTAATTTCGATGTTTTTAACAACCTCATCAATCAGGCACTAATAACTGTTAATGATCAAGTATAATCTTGATAAACAAATGATTATAATGGCCACTAAAACATGTTTAAAACTGAAAACTAAATGATAAACACATGGCGTTCTAGAATGTAAATATGTATATATATATATATGTATAGTTTTTGAATATTCGGTCCCTCACTTGTTGATGATAGAGTTATCTTTTCATTTTTTATATCGATTTAAATAAATTAATTTATGTCAAACTTAATGAATTCATAAAAATATTATTATTTTATAATTTTTTAACGAATTTAAATTCGAAACAATAAAAGAAAAATAAACTCTCTTGTCACTTGACCCAACGTCCATTAATTATCTGTATTTTATATATATATATATATATATATATATATAAATGGCAAAACTTCAAATAATATTTTAATCTTATAAAAAATCCAAATTGAAAAGAGGGATGTTTGTCAAACTTAATGAATTCATAAAAAATTATTATTTTATAATTTTTTAACAAATTTAAATTTGAAACAATAAAAGAAAAATAAACTCTCTTATCACTTGACTCAACGTCCATTAATTATCTGTATTTTATATATATATATATATAAATGGCAAAACTTCAAATAATATTTTAATCCTATAAAAAATCCAAATTGAAAAGAGGGATGTTTCAAGACCTTGTAGCCCTACGCGGATCAAGAATGATGATATCATGGTGTTGGTCATATTCGATACATTATATTTTTGGGATACCTAAAAATCAAAGGCTTTAAATATATACACACACAAACTCACCTACCCAAATTCCCCCTCTCTTAGAATAGGTAGTGGAATTGTCCTCTTTCTTAATATATATACGTTAGGTTGACAACTGTCATTTTACATTGCTTTGGCTACCAATATGCCCCTATTTTCTATCATGCTTGCTTGCCATTTGCTTTCAGTCTTGGCATTCTACCCATTATACTCATCGATCCAAATACAATGAGTCAATTTCAGACTATTCTTTGAATGAATTACAGCCACTCAGCACTTAACTAATTTTTGCACAAAGATTTAGTTACATATCTCTATAGAGGTTGAGATGCCTAGATTGTTCAATTTTGGAGTATCAATTTATTTTTTTTTACATGTCATATTAGCTACATAATCTAGAAAGGTCTTCTCTCGTTTTATAAATTCCAACCATCCATTTCACAATGCTATTCTAAAGGGATAACAGGTAAAAGTACTGAGAAAGAACAATAGAACAGAATTTTAATTTTAATATCATATTAAATATTTAATGTAAAATCAATTAGTAATAAGTATACAGATCCAATTTGAATATAAAATCGTAAGAAATTTAATATTTAATAAAGATAAAATAAATCATAAAAAAATAAATATAGAATAACATCACTTTAATATAAATTATAAAATTTTAAGCTGTTTTGATTTTAAAAAAGTCGGATTATTTAGTTTTTTTCCTAAATCTTTTCAACTTTATCTAGATTATAGTCTAGTTTGAATTGGTGATGTTAATGGCTAAAGATGCAGTGGAAGGCATTATGGAAGGTGAAGGATTTAGTGGCAAGCATTATGTTCATGAGGAATCTTGATTAGTGGGTTATTATTATTATTTATTTTTTTTGGTTTACCAACTCTTTCAATAGATTTTAAGATTCTATACTTATCCATTGGATTTGGATTCACACCTTGTTTAAAAACATCATATATCCTTAAAATGATAATGGGTTGATGTAGATGTCCAAGAATAATAATGAAAGATAACACCTAAACTTGTGTAAATTACATAACTAATTGATAAAGTGAAAACTTTAACTTTATAGTTATAGCTAATTTTTGATGCATCAAATATTGCTCAGACACCTTAAGTATGAACTCAGTTATTTTATAATCCATTGGGAAGAAAATTATTTACAAATGAATTAAGCTGATAATCAAGAAAGCATACAAAAATTGAGATGCCAACAATTATTTGATTTGTCCATTAAGTGTTGGACTTGTAATTTTAGTAATCAAATTAAATTTTTGATAACGTAAAAGAAAAAAGGAAAATTAAGATGATGTATTATTAATTTATTATGTCTAAACATATATATTTTTTATATAATTGAGATCGTAATCTGGAATAGATAAATAATTATAAATATTGAAATTTAAATTTTAAAGTTACTAAATATCATTCTTTTTAAAAAATAATTAAATGAATCAACTAATTTAAAACCCAAATTCACCCGAATGTTTTAGATTGCCTTCTTGTCATTAATTAAAATTAAAATTAAAATATATTTTAAATATATTTACATTTTCATTCTATTAATTACCATAGACCTAATTTGTTAACATGATATCAAATGATAATTATGATGGACAAATCGTATACCTAAATTTAAAACTTAATTTAATTAATTAATACAATTATTTTAAAAAATAATATTTAATAAATTTTAATTTTAATTTTCAAACCTACAACTCTTTACATTTTGTACCAAAAAAAATTGACACACCTAATCCATATACCTAATAGTTATAATGAAATTGAATCACATGATCAATAGATATTATAATCCTGTATAGTGCCGAATCTGCTAATAATCCACTTTTTTTCTAAAAAAAAGCATAAGAAACAAATTGCACTGAACATTACCTAACCTTATTATTATTTAATATAAATTAATTATATATAAAAAATTCGTACTTAAACATTTTAAGATTAAAATTTTAACATTTAAAGTTAAATTTTATTCGGTTTATTAAACAACACCAAGCCAAAGTCATTTGGCAATTTGACATAACAAGGCGGATTGCTTTCTGGCTAAGCTAACATCAGTTGGGAACAGGACTTCAGGGTCACAAAAAACGATTGTCTGACCCTAACCTGCCGACGGGTGAATGCATCAAAGCGATGGCAGTACCGAAAACCTACGTTAGTGTGAGATGAAACAGTCATGTTTTTCTCTAGGAAAAAAAAAAATACATATTCTTACAAGCTTGAATGGACAATAACTTCATGCATTATAATACTAATATATATATATATATATATATATGTATATAAATGAGGGATTACTAGATTTTAATAGATCCAAAGATGAGAAAGCAAGTTAAAATAAAAAAAAAGTTTAATCTTAACTTTTAGATCCATTAAAATTAATAATTAAAAAAATTTATGTCAGTTGATTTGTATATACAGAATATACAATAATAACAAATTAAATTTTTATTTCTTATTTATGAGGTTACCTATATGAAATACCAAAATACATCTTTTGTAATTTATCTCTAAAAATTTTTAAAAATTCATTTCTTGTAATTATCGTACAAATAGATTTATGTTACACATCCAAATCATTTTAAACGATTTTTTCTTATATTTTTCTCAATTCAAATTAGCTCTAATATATATTTGCAGTATGTATAGCTCAAAATATTTCTGCAATCACAAGATTATGATTATTCACCATTTTCAATGTTCTCTTTAAGACTCAACTTTACTGACCAAAAACTAAAGGAATTCCAAGGGTCCCTATGAGAATTTAGAAACCCGATGCCTTCATCGAAAAAGGGATTCATAATGGAATGATTTTGATTATGGATTCATTAGTAAAAACTTTCTCCTACATTTTGAATTACAGAGACGAGAATTTTATGCGAGAATGAAAGCCCAAAGGGAGAAATAGGAATCTTGATTTAGTGTAAATCAAGTTGGTGAGGTCAAAAGAAATGACCATCAATAGTTTTTACCTTCAGATTTCATGTATCAGTAATTTTGCTGACGATTGCTACGGCAAGCTTTGCAATGCTTGGTTCTGGGGATTGCCGGAGGGAACAACCCTGATGAACGGAGGAACAGTCGGCAATGTGGATATGCACACATCTTTCCCAGGGAAAGAAGAGCTATTCCTAGAGGTGACTCATTAATATTGCTTGCGTTTAAAGCAACTACGGAACAGTCAGCTACCAGTTTTAATAAAGCCTGCCAATAAGAAGGAAGAAAAAAAAAGGCAAGCAGAAATCCGTAATCAGTATTATATGGCAATGTTAAATGACACAAAAATTATAAAAACAACATGATTTAGAATTTTAACCAAAACAGTATATAAGTTTGGCATAAAAACAATGTGTTTTGTTTTAATACGTCGACACAAATTTAATATAATAATTTTTATATTTTATATATATTTAATATAAAATAAATACGATATAAAAATATGACTTGTTAAATCATGATAATAAATTGTAAATTCTGTTGCTATTGCAGTCACAATATATAATAAACCATGTTTGGCATTGCATCCATATCCATTTAAGAAATTAAGTTATGTAAAACGGTTTTTCCACAAGAAAAAATTGAAAAGCATTCACGTCATTGAAACCAAATGTTACTTAAATGACTAAAAAATGTCTTCTTGGGGGTCTAATCTAAAAGTTCGGCACTGCTTCGCAGAGTTTGTTTGATGTATTATTGTCAAATAACTATGATTAATGCACTACGTCAACACACCTGCATGGCTTCCCCGGTGATGATTCTTCGCACAGCTTGTTCGAGTTGCGTACAAGATTACCCAGTGCACCTGCAGCATTTACTTTAGTCTTGTCTTCCTCTGCTGAAAGCAACAGTTTTGCCAGTTGAGGTATGGATCTTCTGAGTTGTTCGTACAACGTATCATTATGGCAGGACGCATTCCCAATCTGAGGAGAGAATTAATAGGCAGCTGCAAGTTACATGCATTTATGCCATAGCAACAGAGCCAAAGACATGGTGCTGCTACTATTTCTTAGAGTTAATTATAATTTTAATACTTGAATTTTGAGAAGATGTACAAAATATCATGTAAAAAAATAAAATGTAAAATTTGCACCTTAAATTTTTAAATAATTATTATTTTAAACTAAAATTTAATATTATTAACTAATTTGCCTATATAACTTCTGACTAGTATAATTTTATTATTTGCATATTATTTGTTAAATAAGAGTATATTTAATATATAAAATTATGATAAAATAAAATGATATTATAAATAGAATTAAATTATAATAAAATAATTTTATTTATTGATTAAAATTATCTTTTCTTAAAATTTATATAATTTAAATTATTGATGTAATTTTTTAAAATATAATAAAACATGTAAGTTCAATTCCATTGATTAAAAATTATCCTTTTCACTTTGAAAGGATTAAAGCATCTTATATCAAGAAGATAATTAATACTCTTTTTAATTCTATCCTTTTTTTTAGATAAAAGCCAATCTTATACATTAAATATGGCCTAAAAGTATTAAATATTTTGTAAAAACTTTATGTGAATACCATTGGATAAATAATAATTCACCAATTGTAAACAATTCTTACAGTTTAAGTGAAAATATATATTTTTAAATTTATATTAAAAAAGATGTTGATAATATGTATTGTGAATACAACTTGATAATATTTATCAAATGCCTCATATATAAGTTGATATAATTATCGAGATTAGAGTTTAAATTAACATGATACAAAATTTAAAAATTCAAAATAAAAATTTTACATTTTACTTTTTTAAATATCAATTTATATATTTTCTTGAAATTCACATAAAAAATTTGTAATTGACTCAATTTCCTAATAGTTAAGAACAGATCTTACCCCTAAACATGCAAATTTCCTTGTTCGTCCGTCTGGATCAGCACATCGATCAATAAGGAGCCCAATGATCTGATGTCTTGCCTACAGCATTATGTCGGTCAGTGAGAATCAGATAACTGATATAGCCTGCAACATAATTTGTCAGATGGTGCTTGTGTTCAATGACCAACAACCATACGATGTTTATCTCCAACATAGTTTCCAAAGTCCAAGTAATGAATTGTAAAACGTTGACAAAATATTATTGAATAATGGTTCCTATTCAGTTCAGCTGGCACAAAACAATCTATGGTTTAGCACTTACCAGTGCAGCATAAAAGTATGCGCTATAGCGACACATGTTGCCTAGAGCATTGGAAGCTTTGGCTCGGACTTTGGGATCTTCATGTGTGAGAAAGCCCCGCAGACTATCTAAAATCGAAGCTCCATTAATGAATTCATGGAAACCCTGCATGATCACATTATCCAAAATTCATTAGTCAGACCATGGGCTTAGTACTGGCTCATCTCTCTTTAAAGGGCATCTAAAAGACCACAAATTTCGTGGGAGACAACAGTCATTTCCATCTCGTTGAAGAAAAGCCGTAAATCAAACAAAAAAAAGGTACAATGGAGGAAAGGAATCAATTAAATAATTTGAGGAATTAAACTTAGATCACACATGATGATTGCGAAGGAAATGAAAGATTAAGAACTCGGCCATGGCAAGAAAAGGCACCATTATCAAAACAAAGCTTCAAATAGAAAATTACAAGATCAACTTTATAAGACTGCTCAAATATGAAAAAAGTTTTCATGTTAAGTTGGTAGCTGAGCCGTTCATTGAATTCTGGAAAACAAGTTTCAAGCACTGTTTTAGAAAGCTAAATTTAACTATTGAAGGGACCTATGTTAACTTCCACATCTCATGATGCAGCAGAAACTATTTGATGAAAACATAACCTGACCTTATCCATGCGAGCTACATCAGAAACAATCATCAGGGTGTCCAGCGTGGCTTCTTTTGGACTTGAAGAATCAAGCAACCATCTCATTCTATTTGGATTCGACAACTCTTTTCTAACAAGTTGAACTGCAAGTGGTCGATGTCCTATCATTTTGGCAAGAAAGGCAACAGGCCTTCCCAGATCCTTTGACTTTAGTTGTTCCAAACAACGAATAATGATGCCAGGTACTCCCACCTGAGAATTTCAGAAGATAATAGATGAGAAAGCATAGGCTTCCAATACCTTGAGGCCATCTTGGTGCCTTAAGCATCATTCACATCAAAACTAAGACCGGAAAAGAAGACATACTCATCAAAGGTGTGCTGTTTTACATGATCTTTTTTTTTTTTTTTGGATTGAGAGCGCAAAGAGCACTTAAAGATAAAAGAATCAATCTCTAGAAAGTTAATAAGTTGCTTATTTAAAGCAGTGCAGACAGTCTTGTGCACTAAACAGCCAGATGCCAGTTCTAAACTGCCTCCTTTTAACCAAGAACCATTCAGCTAGAAAAACTCATTGATTACAAGAAAGCAGGCAAGAGAACAGCCTTCCGATGCCAACCTATGGTCCAGAAAAGAAAGGGATAGGATCTAACCTCCAGGAGGATTTTAATATATTTCCCCATATCTTCCTCAATTGCTTTCACCATGTCCTTGTCTTCCACGCATACTTTCCAAGCAGCTGAGCCCATGTTGAGAATGAACCCGCTATTTACAAAGTAGTAGCAAGTGGCAACCCAGTAGCATTTTGTACAGCAACCAAAGGAAACGCTAAGAAATCAATTACTGCATTTATTACATCTCTGACTCCATCCTTCCCTCCACCAGGCCCAAACCAGGACCTCACAAGCTTGAGATGAACAGCAGATATCAAAGTGTAGATGAGTTTCACATGTTCACTGCAGAGCAAAGTTTGGCGAAAGGTTAAAACTACACCTGAAAGGCACTGACATACTGATGAAACTGCCCATACAACCCCTATAGGGGATAAGCCAACTCCACTATTTGGGCCACCAACTCCTTGACTTGAAGCGCTTGAATGGTTGCTGGCCAACAAATTAATAAGAAGCAAAGGGACACCACTTGAAATCAATTGTTTTACAGCCAATGGTCCTCCCCATTTTAGTTTGAATTATAACAAGCCTACACATTCATCCCTAAGACCATGCCAGTATGAGAGAACCACTTTAGGGTTCTTAGGGCCAACTTCAATTTCACTGTCTGATGAAATTTTAAGGTGATCACAAAGTGTGCTAGTTTGAGGAATCAAGGGCATCGAAATTTCAGATATGGAAGACTCAACGGACAGTCCACCTTCAAGTGAAAGAATGGAAGCAAGAGCCAGCATGGCTGATGCAGAATGAGGCTGTAATGAAGTTATAGTTGTATCATTATAAGAAACAACGGTGAGCAAGGATTGAAAGTCGAGAGAGTTGCTTCTTTGGGGAGGTTGTAAGCATAAATAAAGCAGAATTTCTTCCAGTAGACTTTAAACATTGAGCACTTGTAGCAAGGAGAAGGTACGAATGCAGAACCAAGACAGGCGGATTGCTTTTTTTACACTTCAAGTTAGATGTCTCAGGTTGTGCATCTTTGATTAATGATGAACATAAAGATAATATAGAGAATATCTCTGAAACAATGGTTCCATCCGCTCCACCACTAACAACAGTAGTAACATGCAGGGAATTGGGAAGGCCACATAGAACAGTCGGGATAATTCCATTGTGGAGGCAACATCTTGACAAATCTGAAACAAGTTAAGAAATAAATATATGTAATATATTATGCAACACTAGGCAACCAAATCAGGACATAAATAAATTATAATTAAGTCTTTAGCTGCTCCTCAGCATGGAAGAATTTTCAGAAACGTGAAGAAATACCAGAATAGCAGCAGATAGTGCTGGCTCTACACGTTCATGAAGGCAATGGACTAAAGCAAACTGCACAGCTTTTGATCTGACAAATGCCATAGTTACTGCATCCAGAACTTTTGCTGATTCTCCAGCCAGCAAACATCGAGCATGATCTCTGATGTCAAGTCAAACCAAAGAATGACTCCTCAAAGCATTCAAGGGAAACAAATTGGGATTTTCCTTCACAAAAAGAATTTCTAGAGCGTCCATCAATGACCAGATAGCCCTACATGCTTCACAAACAGCATGCAGCATATATGTGGATCCAGAACTAAGATTTGAGCCCGAAGTTGCCAAACATAAACACAAATGGTCCACCAAACAGGACGTCACAGTATGGTCCAAAATCTGTTTCGATGTTTCATTCACCACAGAGGGAAAGAGATTCCCTTAGAAACCTGATTCAAAGTATATGCTCTAAGACCCTGAGCTACTCCAGCTAAAATAGTTGTGATGCACGCACAAGACTCCGAGAAAACTGTCCCAGAGGCATCTTCAATGTGGCCAACAACCTATACACACAAAATGAGGGAGCTTGGATAAGGTTTCTGAGTTGTTGGCAGAGACCAATATAAACCACAGAAAATTAAACCTGTGGGAAAATTTCAACCAGGACAAACCAGTGCTTGAAATATGAATTGGCAACACCACTTCCATTATTTTCTGCCAACAGCATTTTAATAACTGAAAAACTCTGCAAAGTTACTAGAGAAGCTTCAGCTAGATATAATAATAGAAAGGAGCATTTGACTTTGTAAATGGTTTAATGGTCAATGTTCGCATGGCTCTTCAATAACTTTCATGATAAAGTCATTAGTTTTCAGAAAATCAGTAGAGAAAGTTCAACACAATTGCAGAAAAGAAAACAATGTGAAAACTGGAGCCTGGAGGAAGCAGCATGCTTATAGTTACAAAAAATTGGACGGGCATCTCCAAAATCAGAATAATCATGAGCATGGCTAATTTTATTCATAAAACCAAAGGCGAAGTTAGCATGGCACATAATACATCGGTGCTAGAAATGGGGTCAGAAATTTGTTGTTTACCTTTGCTACTAACTCATTAACACCAGATGATTTCAAACCAACTAAAATCACAGTGAAATTAAGAAGTTCACACATTATTTCGTCAATAATTCCTCCAGAATGTAGGGCACCAGCCGCAACTAAATTTGAAAGAATTCTCAATGACTGACTTGAATGGAGAACATGACCCCTGTAGAACTAAGTTAAAATGAGAACTGACTTCAAGAAAGCATCAACAGATATCTGGTACTCAATTCAAGGAATTTTATATTGAGTATAGAATAATTCAGCAACACTGAATAGTGTAAAACAAAATGACCAAATGGCAGAGCAACATTATACCCAACCTCCCAAAATAATAACTCTGGTAAATAAATTTGATAAAAATATTACAAGCTTTATCTTTCAAGAAAATCTACCTGAACCATCATGAAACAAACCATTGCCCTAACTGCACCATGATGAACATGAATTATAATTCCAGCTTCCCAGTCCTGCTTCTTGGTCTTGAAATCTTTGAGTTTTGTGGTTAAAGACTTGGCAATAACTATATTTTTCCAATTGTTTTATTTCATTGATAATGTATGAATGCATCCCTAGGAGTCGTGGACATGCATTGTCAGTTTTATCCTATGCCATTTTAATGCGTGAATTTCATCCTGGAATCTAGTGCTTATCAACACAACTTGGTAAGGATGGTTACAACAATCACCAATTGGAGAAAATGAGAAATTGAGAAATAAATCTAACATAATGCTTGCAAATACTAAGTATTTTACTTCCAGAGTGGAATTAGTTACACTTTCTTTTTTATGCTGATTGTTATTAGTTAAATGTTCCACTAAGTACCACCTCTTTTGCCCCTTTTCTGGTTCAGTTTTAACTGCTTAGCATACATACATAAGTCTTAGTTTCTAAATCATGGTAGGGACTGCTGCAAAAAAGATTAAAAAAAAAAAAAAAAAAACTCAGCCAACATGAAAGAGAAACTAGTTACCAAAACTGTGTCCAAAATAAAGGCCTCGAAAACAGCCAATTTGTGAATCTATAATAAATTTGTGATAGAACACTCACAAAAAGAGATATAACAGTTTAGATTTATCATAAACCATTCTTAGCAATTTCACATTCATATCTAAGCCAAAAAATTGTCTTGAAATGGAATCTGGTCATATTCTCAGCAGGCAACCCAAAGGAAATAGCCAACCGACTTTGAATATGTTTTGCTACATAGGAAAAAGAAGAAAATAAAGTTGCATTTGAGTAATAACTAACAAACAACAAGCAATCAAGTTAGAAAATACAAATGAAATGATCCATAAAACTCAAGGTTACCTGCAACCATTTTGTGGTCCTTCTGACCATCTTTTGATTGGCAACAAAACAAATGCCAATGCTTCAGTATCCTGACCAATAATTTGTGCGCCATTAACTGTGCGGGAGTTATTTTCTAATCTGTCTAAAGCTTGGTTACCTGGAGAGATATATAATTCATAATATGTCAGAACAATGAAATTTATAGAGAAAATCAACTACAGGAAAGATAATAAAGCTAAAGAACACTAACACTAGAGACAACAAGATTGAATTTAATAATATTTGGTTAAGATTCTATTATTTTCAGAGTGAAGAGAGGACAAATTTCTCTATAGAGAATCAGTTGCTTCATCTTCAAGGCTTTGACCCCTTACTGAACAGGGTTTTTTTTGGTTTATTATATTTACATAAAAAGTTGCAACATGCACAAGAACAACAAACGAAAAAGCAAATGAAGCACCAAGGGAAAAATGACTGATTTATTTCTTTTACCATGTCAAATATCACAAATTTAAAACTAGATGTACCAATTGTTTAAAGGAATTCAAACTTAGCTAAGAATTCAAAACATCGCAAACAAATTATGCAAATATGAGAAAAAGAAAACCAGAACCTTGATCACCTCAAAACGAAAAATCAATAGAAAAGAGCAAGTTTCAAACTACTTTAGGAAATTCAGTTTACAAGTTTAAAGCTAGCTATACCAATTGTTTTAAAAGTAAGTCAAACAAAACTAACAATATTCAAGTAACTCAACAACATAGGCAAATTATGGGAATCTGACAAAAAGAAACAATGATGACATCAAAGAATAAATAAACAAAACAATACAAGGACACATCGTTTGAAATTACTTTAGGAATTTCAGTTGCAAAATTATAAAAGGAGAAAGCGGAAAAAAATATAGAATTAAAATCATCGATCTGTGAGCAAAAGTTAATGTGCATGTTCCACCAATCATCAGATAGACATCATTCTCTAACAAATGCAGCATGGAAAAGAGCTGCTTGAACTTAAGATTAAATTTTGTAGTTTTTATTAACTATTAAAATAAACTATCTTTAATTCCATGCAAGGGTGATATTTTTATCTTTATATTATTAATATTTAATAAAAATATTTATATAAATTAAATAAATAAAATTATAAATTTCCTAAAAATAAATATTTGAATATAGGTTTAAAAGTTTTGAATATAATTTAAAATTAAAGAATAATTTTGTCATCCAAATATGGATGATATATTTGTAAGGAAAACTAAAATGCAATACCAAAAATAAAAATACTCATTTATATTATTTTGAGTCTAGTTATTTTACAATATAATTGATATATAATTTTAAAAGCTCAACAATCATTTTAATAATCAGGCGAATATGGAATTACTCCAACTTCTTTAAATTCTTGTGATCTTTGTGGGCTTTAATAATAAAAAAAGTCAATTCACTTCAATCAAGTTTAACAACGATTTTTAATCTCATTATTATAATAACTTATTTTATCATCATCGTTATTTTTAATTTTACTAAAATTAATTTTGTTATCCTAGACTCTAAAATAAAATTAGGTCTACAAAATATGGATGAGTTCAATAATTAAAGTGAACAAAGATTATCTCAAAAAAAAAAAATTTTAATACGATCAAAAATATTTTTTCAAGTTTTATCTGGGCCTTAATCTTCTTTTCAGTCGATTTTAAAGGCTCACTCTCCACGATACCATGAATTCAAAATTTTACATTTCAGAGTACTTTCCACAATTCCAATAATCTTATTCCCCCCTTTGAGCAAAAATAATCAACTTTTAGACATTGAAACATACTAAGAATTTTAATTTTATTTTTCATAAACACAAAGAAGTCGGACAAATAACTATAGGAATATATCAATTTAAATCTTTAACCTTAAAATGCAGAGTAGAGCAAACTATGTTACGAAATTAAATAGCTTTCATTAGAAGCAAGAAACTTACTGAGAGTTCAAGTACATTCAAAGCACCATATGATCATCTCCATCCATGAGAATGTACAATTAATTAACCATCAAATTAAAAACAAAAAAAAATCATATTAATTGATTACTAGACCCTAATGCTAGAAGGAATTGAAACTTGATCAGGCTGTTCTTGAACTCTTTCACTTGGTTTTCCTGAAAGACATAAGAACTGGATATATATTCTTAAAGGCTTCAAAAATCTCTTCTGTCTTCTGAGCTCCAGCAATAACAATCTTTCCCGAAGGAAAAACCAGGATCGCAACTTTGGGTTTTTTCATTCGATAAATCAACCCTGGAAACAGCTCTGGCTCGTACACCGAAAACTCACCATGGAAAGTTGACATGCGTACAAGGCTTAAAGGGCATCCAACATCACATGAAGCAACAATGTTCTGAATCTTGAAATCATTGAAGGTGATATCGAAACCAAGTTTTTGAATGATTCGAGCGTACTTGCGGGCAGCCGTTAACGATTGTTTCTCGGTTTTGGCTCCAGTGCAAACGATCTTCCCTGATGAAAATATGAGAGCAGTGGTTTTGGGTTCCCTGATCCTCATCATTGCAGCAGCAAACCTTTTGGGGTTGTATTCAGTGTTTCGTGCATGGCGGACGATGGCCTTGAGGTCCAACGTGCAACCAAAGTTCACCGTGGAAACCACGTTCTGAAGGGTTGGACGAGGATGGAGGGCTGGAGAACTGATAAGAGGATTATCAATGGAGGGCTCCATAACTTGGTCTGTATCAGCCATGGCAAGACTAGAGACTTTAATCTTTCTTGAATGCAGGATTGAAGAATTTCTTTCAGCCGAGAATTGGGAGAATATATAGGGCAAGGATTTTCTGTCTAAGTCGGTCACCTTGTAGCTTTCGAAAATCATAATCCTGATGGTACAAGGTTTCCAAATTATTATACAGTAAACAAATAAATAAGTAAATGATAAAAATTTTGAATAAACACATAAATTAATATATTATTTATACATATATAATAGTAATTACATATGTATGTAAATATAAATAGTTACACATTATAAATCATAAGAATATAAAAATATATAATTATATAGTTAAATACATATATAACTCAAAAAATAATTGAATAAATTACCATTAAATATATGATCAATTTTAAAATAAAATAATGTGTCAATATTTTTGTTTAACATAATTTTCAAGATTTTAAATGTTACATAAAATTAATATATATATATATAATTGATTCATTTATACAGTTTTAAATTATTGTCTATCATTTTTCATTTTCACCTCATTATCACAGTTATTTTATTAAACATATATTTTTTCATGATGATTTTAATTTCATTGCTATTTTTTTCAAGATAATTCAATGATATAAATTTAATTTCATTGTTGTAATAATTAATCTCACTGTTAATATTATTTATAATTAAAAATAATTATAAATAATATATTAATTACCCTTTAAACTTATCTTACGGCATTCCTCAGGAATAAACCTCGTACTAATAAATGAGTAGAGGAAAAGGCCAAGGTTTGACTCTTAAGAATGTTGAGCTAATAATACTCGAGAAATATTTAGATAAATTTTTTAGACGAAATTCGTAAAATTTTTAGTAAAAGTAATTAAATAAAAATTAAAAATTAAATTGATAAATTGAGAGGTTTTATTATATAGATTAAGTGTGTAATTTAAAAAAAAATTGATATATATTTTTAATAAATATTTGTTAAAAAAATTTTGATATAATTTTTAGTTTTGAATAAATATTGATCAATTTTAAATTATAAATAATTTTTAATAAATTTTTTACATATTAATTAAAATCAATCAGTCTATCAATTTAAAATTTTATTAAAATTTTTATTTAAATCACTTTTAAAAAAAAACTTCATGAATTTTCTCTAAAATTTCATTTTTAATTTTATCTTATAATAACCCATCTAAACTTGATGCGATCCTTGCCCATAAAGCGAACATGTGTAAATCAAATATTTCAGTGCATAATATTATTGAAAAAATTGATACAAACATAAGTACGTTGCAGCAATGGTTAATGCTTATCATGTTTTTGTGATTTAAATCTAATAATTTTAGATACGATATGAAAATGATATAAAAAATATATATATAAATTTTAAAAAAACGTGTTTTATATTTATTCATATTGACATAAATTTTGACACGATATTATTCATGTTTTATACATGTTGATACGTCTAAATATGTATAAGATATGAAAAATATGTTTAAATAAAATGTATCATATGGATACATATTTAACACATGATATGAACAAGAAATATATTTAATTTAATCTTGTCATACAAATAAATGTTTAACACGTTTAACATATTTTTATATTTATTTTAATTTAATATAAACATATAAAGATTGTTTTAATTTGTAGTTTTTAATTATGATACTTATTTAGCATTCCATATCACATAAATATTTTTTAAAACATTTAATTATGATACTAATTTAATAATTATTATAAAATTTTTTATATTAATAATATTAGTTCTATACAACATTACTTTTTTAAAACATTTAAATATGGTACTCATTTAATAAATATTAATATTAGTCCTATACATCATTATTTTATTTATTAATTTTTAGTAGTTTATCATTTTGAATTTGAAACTAAAAACAAATATAATTATGTAATATATATTAAATTTTAAATATATATTAAATACTTATTAAATGGGTATCAAATTTTTTTTATTCTTTTTAATATGCAGTACTTTTTATATTATTAATATGTCAAGCTTATTAAATTATAAATGATAAATAGTTTATAATTATTTATTATTTTAGTTATATTTTTGTATATATTCATGTTAGTCGTGCCTATTCATATATATCAATGTTAGTCATTTTTATTCATATATATCCGTATTGTTCTTATTTATTTGTGTCGCGTTTGAATAGATTAATTTTACACATGTTAGTCGTGTCATATTGTATTTAATACATATAATAAACATGTCATATACGTGTTTAAGATTGAAGTACGTTTTATAATTCGTATCATATTCATATTTTAAAAATTCATATCATTATATGTACCAAATATGACCTAAGACACGACATGAAAAAATAAATTGCTGTGTCTATTGTGATCTCTAATTTATAAAACTAGTGAATAAGACAAAAAATATATTGAATAAAAAAATGATAGACAACGATGGAATTTATCTAAAATTTATACATTTATTTAAATAATACTATGGTAACATTTGATATCATTTTTAATATCATCACCATGATCTAATTATCATAGTGATGAGGTCACTAAGATGATTTGATTATCACCGATCTTAGATTATTATGTTTTGTATAATATTATAAATCATTAGTACTTTTATATTACTATGCTTAGTATTATATGAAAAATAAATTATATAGTATAAAATATTCAAAATAACCTTACAAAAAAAGTAAAATATTTAATACTTATTAAATCAATAATTTATAAAATACTTAAACGTTAATTTATAAAAAATTACAAAATATAAATCAAATTTTATAAAAATAATTTCTAAAAATATTAAATAAATTAATTATCTTTTTTCAAATCAATATAATTTATAACATAAAATCTTTTCTAGAATCAATGATTAAAAAAATTAGTTTTTTTTTTTTTTTTAATTTTTAGTGGCCAGTTTTTTGGGGGCAAATGTTAACTCTAATTTTTAGAAAGGTAAATTAGTCAAAAAATAATATTAAGAATTAATTTCCCATGGTAATAAACTTTTTTCATATTTTAGGTTGAGAACTTGATTGCTCACTGATATAGTGATTTTATAACCACAGTAATTTAAAATTATCGTCATATAATATTTCTAAATTATTATATAATAAGATAATATAATTACTGAGTACAAATTATCGTAATTTCTAAATGAATCTCCATATACCAAACACTTTTTATAAACTTTTTTCAAATAAAATTTGAACAACATTAATTTTCTGCTATCTAAGGTTGTATTTAGATCCCACCAGCACCCCATTTCGATGGGATTTTTCATTCACACCGCAGGCCTTTTTCAAAAACACCCTTACTTTAATTTTTTTTTTCCTTTGAAACTATAAGACACAACCTTTTTTTCATTATTTTCTCTCTTTTGTATTTTTTAAAACTCTGATTTAAATAAAAGATAACAATTATTTTAGTATAAAAATGTTATTATCTTTTATATTATAATCAATTTATGTAACTATTTTATTATCAGTTAAAAAAAATAATTTGATATATTATTATTGTAGACACCCAATTTGGTCCAGGCCCGGATCAATTGGGCCTGGCCCAAATGGGTAAGCCCAATTCGGTTTCTATTTTGTATTATTTTTATTTTTTTCTTTTGTATTTTATGTATTTTATTATTTATTTCTTATTACTATGTATTAATATATGTATATCTTTATTTATTTATTTATTTATTTATTTATTTATTTTCTGTTAATATTTATATGTATTTTATTTATATAGTTATATATTTATTATTATATTATAATTTATTTATTATTATTATTATTATTTTATATTTTATTTATTTTTGTATTTTTATTTATCTAATTATATATCTGTTATTATTATTATTTTTTTATTTATCCTATAATATTTTTTTTGATTTATCTTTTCTAATTATCTATTATTCTTTTTATTTGATTTTTATTTTGGAAGGTTGAGATTGAAGGCTGAAGAATCCTACTGGGAATGGGGATTCAATCAGAAGAGTTCAGATTGGATTCAAAGATTGAATCCCCGTCCAAAGAGAAATTGGGATTGATCAGAAACTCCTGATCAATCCCTATAAAAGGGACCTCCTAGAACAGAAGCAGAACACAAAAAAAACAGTGAGTAAAGCTATTGATCTGAGAGATAGAAGAGTATAGAAAGGTTTAGAAGTGTTCTGGGAATTAACAGAAATTTTTTCGAAGATTTTTGGCGTTTTTTTCTAGAAATTTCTGAAAAATTCTAGATTCCGGTTGAATTTTTTGACGAAACTTGAATTTTTTGGCGAAAATTCCGGTCAACTTTGAAGTTTCCGACGAAGCAACCCAGAAACCGACTAACTTCCGGTGAAATTCCGACGAAAAACCCAGATTTCGGCTAAAAATCCCAGAATCCGGTGAATATTCAACCGGAGTTCTTCAGCTTTTTAGAGAGAAACGGGAGAAAAAGGAAAGAAGAGAGAGAGAAGGGAGGAGCGTTCTGTCGAAAAACAGAGGGAAGAGCCTTATATACCCTCCCAAAACGACGTCGTTTTGGCCTTAAGTGACCCAGAGGATCTGCGCGTTTTACCGATATCGACCCAACCCGAGCATCGACTCGCGTCCTGACACGCGCGTGTCTGCCCCCTTCCGAGCCGAGCCGAGCTCCAAAGCCGCTTCTCCGAGCCGTTTTTTCTTCCTTGAGCCGAGCCGAGCCGCTCCAAGTTTTTTTTTTTTTTGAATTTATTTATTTATTTGTTATTTATTATTTATTTATTTATTTATTAGATTAGGTTTATTTAATATTCTTTTTATATTTATTTTATTTTTTTTACTTTCCTTTATTTTTTTATTTTATTTTATTTTTTCTTTTCACTTTTATTTTGTTTTATTTTTTTTCCTTAAAAAAATAAAATTTCAAAAAAGGGTTTTTGAGAAAAAGTTGAAAGTATCAATTTTTCTTGAAAATCAAAGTTTCAAAGAATATTTTTGGGGAAAAGTTGAAAGTATCAATTTTCCTTAAAAATAAAATTTCAAAAAAGGTTTTTGAGGAAAAGTTGAAAGTATTAATTTTTCTTGAAAATAAAAGTTTCAAAAAAATAT